TTTCCACGCTGGCCTGTCGCCCAGACGACGGACCACCACCTGCCAGCTTTGTCTCCGTTCTTGGGGAAGAATTTGTCTCCCAATCCGGCGACGAAATTGCGCACGTCCACATTGAGGAACTCCATCTCCATGAGGGTGTCGAGCACCAGCCATGGGATCTGGTTCTCGAGCAGCATCACGTCCTTGAGGATGGTGTGGTCGGACGCGACCGCGCTGCCCCGGCTCAAGTAGTGCAGGAGGAAGCAGCCGTCGTGACGGCGAACTCGCCGTCGCTGAAGTGCCTGACCTTGTCGTCGTCGTCGTAGCAGTCACGCGCCTTGCCCACGACGGAGAGGAGCTTGCCGTAGACATCTTCCACAGAGGCCGCGAAGAAGTGGTTCGCCGCCGCGAGCTTGGCCTTCTCCATGTCCTGCAGGTGAGGCGGCTCGCCGTGGCGGTAGGGGCCAATGGCCACGACGGTCGGCGCGATGTACCGCTCGTCGGAGCCGCCGATCCCTCGCAGGCCTCGAGGGAACCGGTGGATCTTTCCCTGCGCAATGGCGGCGCCGTGGCTGGCTGCCCTCCAGCAACCGTGTATTCTTGGTCATCCTCTCTTTCATATCCTTCAAAGTGGCTTGTGTGCTTCACCTGGGACGTCGATATATATTGCCACTGCTTCACCGTCAGCCATGGCGGTGGCTAGCTAACTATATATTGCTCACTAAGAAATCAAGTTTGAGGATAACAAAGTTTCAGTTTCCGGCCGGGCTGTCGCGCGCGGCAGGTATTTATAGGGAGCACGCATGCAAGTGCAGTGAAATGTACGTATAAGGTACAGTCGAGCTGTCAGTCAGATACTTAGATTAATGGCTCAAGCATGTTGCTTTGCCTGAGCTTGATCCACGATACTACTAATCTTTATGTAAGCAAGCACTTCAAGTCATCTTCTAGGGGGTATCTGGTTCTTTTTAGGCACCATGTGACACTTTTTTTTTGGCGAAGCAACATGCAGCATTGCAAACTTTAGTTCTGTAGTCATTCAATTCGTTGCTTTTTTTTTTGTTTGGTGCATATATTGTGCTTTAATTTCAAACTACTGAATGCGATATCTGGAGATCGATCAACTAAGGCCATGTTTGGATCATTTAGTCCCTAGATTAAAAACTTTAGTCCCCTATTATTTGGATCTAGGGACTAAGATAGACTAAAGGCACGTGGATCAAAGGAGAGAGAAGAGAGAGGCTGCCATTTTAGGGAGAGAAAAGAGAGACCCTATAAGTACTTTCAAGAGGGACTAATGGATTCTAGTTCTAATATGTACTTGTATTCCTTTTTAGTCATCCATGTTTGAATTCTTAAGGTCTAAAAGGGACTTAAAATAGAGATTAGTCCTATGAACAAATAGAGCCTAAGAAACTTTTGTGATGATGGCTAAAGGCTAAAGCTATTATACGTTCCTTCATTCTGTCTGATTTTCTATCACATATGCCCTGCACTTTTGCCTACGCATGCCTGAGGTCTCTTACACGTTACAAGAAGTCTCATGTCAAGCAGAGCGAGAATTATTAGTGCAGGAAAACCTATACGGAGATGAGGCGGAGAAGTGTAGTATTAATTGATGATGGCGGCCACTACTCTGCAGACGTTGTGGCCGGCCGGTGCCCGTCGCCAGCATCCTTATGTGATGACGACGGTGGTATAATGGTATATAGCAGCTAGCGTACAAGAAGTGGAGGGCTCCGACACTATTCCCGGTCGAGCCCTCATATACGTCTGGGGCTCTAATTAAGATGCTTTGGCGTGCTTGGAGCTGCTTAGGAACAATGCTACATATCCCTATACAGGTTCGAGCCTCCTAGATGATAACAACACTGCTCCTGTGCAGATCAGGATGCCCCATACATGGATGTGTAGATCGGATGCCCTGTATGCGTGCACACCTCGCGAGATTATAGGCTAAAAATAATACATATTTCCCTCCATAGTAAATACTAACCACTTGTCATCCATGAAATTAAGTTAGCAAGATACCAATTTGATCACTATTAAAAATTGGTGTATCTATAAATCTAAAATGATCTATCATATTATTAAACAATCTTAAAAGGAGACATCACATTTCCTGTTGAGGCTATAAATACCATTAATTGGAGACAGAGAAAAAAGTTCAAGCAGAAATACAATTTTAAAGTAACTGAATTTCAGAATAAAAATAAGGAACGTCGAAAGAAAAATCCATATAAAACGCAATATAAGATTAATTAAAATTCAGAATAAAAAATAAAATTTGAAATCCTAAGACAATAAGATGATAATCAGGTGTAAACAAATTAGATAATTTTTGTAATGGTGCTAGCCATGGTATTGCGCGGGCCATAATTGTACTATAGTTATAATGCAACTAATATGTTTTTTTGCGCATGCATAAAAGTAGTGCACATCAATATATTAGAAGAAAAGAGTGTTTGTTTACACAACACAATCAGTCTGACCAGCTTATGCCAAGGGAAGGGAGAAAAGACAAAACAAGAAAAAAAACAAAGGAAAAAAGGAAGAGACTACTATGACGGCTAAACACAACTCCAATCAGCGGGAATGGGGCAGAGCCATACTACCCTCCAAGAAAACCCCAAAACAAGCAACGCTAGCTAACGACCATAGATGGCCCTTAGTGAGGATGGACTCTAGAACCATTGAGACAGAAAAGAGAGCATAGAGTCGAAAATCCTGGAGTTCTGTTCCTTCCAAAGTTGCCAAGATACTAGGAGGACCATGGAGTCGAAGCCGGCACAGAGATGCTCAGGTAAACATACCCTAGAAGAAGGCCACCAGTCCTGAAGCCAGCTGCCACGAGGAGGAGAGAGGGCAGCCCGATCAGAAGGCGACAGCACACAGAGCCATACCTATCGAGCAAACATGCAGTCAAGGAGAATGTGGTTCGCCAACTCAAAGCTCCTAAGTGCAAAAGGGACAGGCCGAGTGGCTATCAATACCACGCTTCTGGAGGAAATCGGCCATCTAGCAGTGCTGCTAAAATGCAAACTAGAGGAAGAACTTGCATTTAGCAGGATCATTCGCGTGCCAGTGAAGAACAACACAGGCAAAAGTGTGCTGGCCATAGAAAAACGCCTGGTATGCCGAACGTGTCGAGTAGCGCTGGTCACTCATCCAACGCCAAATAAGACGATTCCCGACACCCGGCGAGAGCTGAATGTGAAGCACCACATCCCAAACAAGAAGAAACTGGGAGATGACCAGGATAGTGAGGGCACCGCGGATATCAGAAACCCAGGAATTGTTTGCCAAGCCAGAAGCAACCGGGCACGAACCTCGGAGGCGCTGATCAGGCACAACGAAGAGGAGATCTGGAGCCAAGGAGGCCACCGAGCAGACGCCGATCCATTGGTCAGACCAGAAGAGCATCGACTCACTATCGCCCTATACGAAGTAGGTGGATGCCTCGAACATGTTAGAGACGGTCTGCTCGACTAGGGCCTTCAGGACATCGCAGTAAGGATGTCATGAGCGTTGAAGCCAAAGCCAACAAACACGCAGGGCAAACCGTGCCATCCTAAGGTCAGGAATTTCCAACCCTCCGAAAGCTTTGGGATGACAGACATTCGTCCAGGACACCTGGCACTACTCCTATGAGCCGAGTCTGAACCCTTCCATAAGAAGGTGCGACGCTTCTTGTCAATGGCCTTAATGACCTAGACTGGAAGACCGATCGTCATAGACACATGGACTGGAATAGAGGAGAGAACATACTAAACCAACATAGAGTGGCCAGCCAGAGTGGTGAGTCGTCCCTTCCAGGGTGGAAGACAATGGGATACTTTGGGCTTGTTTGGTTGGTGCCCTCAGCTACATGCCTGAAGAAAAGTGCTGCCTGAAATATCCCTGAAATCTTGATGCGTTCGGCTTGATCAGGCAAGCCTAAGATTACTCTGTTTGGTTGCAGGCCTGAGGTCAAGCGTGCCTGAGCTCAAAACACAACCATTGAATGACGTTTATTATGTGAACAAAGCGTAAAAATATAATACATATTCATTTTACAACAGTAATCTCTCATCTATATACACTAGCAGTCCATCCAATTGCACGATGATCACAAGTATCGCTTGCATCTAGTTGACATCGAAGCTTCGAGCAGCAACAGTTGAACGGAGGATTGGGCAAGGGGTTGGTGCGGCATCTGGGGTGTCGGCTACTCGGCTGCGCAGGGCAGCAGGACGGATTAGCAGCGCTAATTATCGGTGGCTGTTGCGGCCTGGAGTTCAGGCGACCAAAATGGGTCGCCTGGCTCAGGCTAACCGCAAGTCAGAAGGAATCAGGCTAGGCAAGGGGTAGTTGATCTCAGGATAGCAACCAAACAAGGTTCAAGCTAGCCTCAGGCTTGTCTTCACTAGGGCAAGTTCTTCTCAGGGCATCAACCAAATAGCCCCTTTATCCACAAGTGGTTGCAGGGCCGTCTTCGGCAACATGCAAACGAACAGCAGAATGCTGAGGTAGGTACAAGGAAAGTCAGAAATCGCGTAGGGAAAGCATGACTGAACCAACTCCAAGTCCTCAACCGAACAACGGATCAGAGTAATCGAGCATTTGACAAAGTTGGTGCATAGCCTGGACGCTGCACCAAAGACAAAGAGGATGCCCTAGATGAACTTAAGATCCTGTCGAACCGGGGAGAGGAAGAGAACCAAATCATCCGCATAGAGGGAGGCGCGCGGTGTCGCAAGGCACGATCGTTGAGCAAAAGGAACCCGCCTGAGTCGGAGGTTTTGCGGAGCATCGCATTGAGCACATCCATGACTAGAATGAAGAGTATGGGAAATAGAGGATCTTCTTGCCAAAGACCCTTCCGGTGAGGGAAGCGTGGACCCGGCACTCCATTGATTAGCAACTAATATATACTAATTTGCTTGTAACTTACCGAAATTGCTAATAGCTCAGCAGGTAAGGAGCACCGCGTATGAAAATCGAAAGTCACCCCAAAAAAATGTCGGATGTTCTTTAAGCAAAACCAATTAAAGATTTATTAACATAAATAGTAGTACTAAAAGAATATTCGTGGACAATTTACTCAAAAACGGCTTTGTATAAGTGTCCAAACGATTAAATCAAATTATATATTTTTTGTTTGTTGGAGAAAGTAACAACGCTTAACTAAGAAAGCTTAATTACTATAGCTCCCTGAGTGCTTTGAAGATGCCAACGAGCACGCTGGCGATGGACAAGATGATGCTGATGGCCCTTATGTGCTTGTACAGGAACTTGTGGACGGCGGACCTCACCGGCCTGCCTTGCTTGAACTTGTTGATCTGTTGCAAGATGTAGAAGTAGCGGTGGCCGAAGCCGAGGTGCTGGCTGATCCGCTTGAAGAAGTCCAGCGTCTGCGCGTTGCTCAGCGTGCTGTACAGCACCTGCTTCGCCCGCAGCTGATGCACGTCTTCTTCCCTGTCCATCAGCATCGCCACCACCGACAGGAACGAGCACATCACGGACGAGGACGAGGACGACTGATCCGCGGTGGTGGCGCCGCCGCTCGCCTCCAGGGCCGCCATGTTCACGAGCCAGCCGGCGCTCACGTCGTTGAGAAAGATCGGCGACAGGGAAAGCTCGCCGTAGACAGGGCCCTCCTTGACGCTCATATCCCCGAACCACTCCGCCGTGCTTGCCGTCAGGTTGACGCCGATCTGGGCCAGCTCGACGGCGCTGCTGGACAGCAGCGACGAGCCGACCAGCCGTACCGAGAGCTCTTCCGTTGGCATGCGAAATATTTGGCTGGACCGGAGGAGGTCGAGGAGGTTCGCCGGCTTGTAGTCCTTGAGGAAGCTGCTTTTATGTGGACTGACCTCGAACAATACGCTGAAACAGGAGGTTGTCAACGAGACTTCGTGTTCCTTATTATTGCGGAGGAACATGTCTCCCACGTCGGCCACAAAACAGCGGACATTTTGCTCCACCTCCATCTCCATGGGCAGGAACTCCATGAGGGTGTCGAGCACCAGCCATGGGACCTGGTTCTCGAGCAGCATCATGTCCTTGAGGATGCTGTACTCCGACGACAGCGCGCGGCCCTCGAACAGCGGCTTCCTTTTCTCCATCATGAACTGCAGGAGGAAGCAGCCGTCGACGAGCATCATGGCCGCGAAGTCATCGTCGCTGAAGCACTTCAACTTCTCGTCGTCGGCGTAGCAGCCGCGCACGTCGCCGACGACGGAGAGGAGCTTGCCGGAGACATCACCGGCAGAGGCGCCGTTCGCGGTTGCGATGAAGCGGTTCATCGCCGCGAGCTTGACCTCCTCCATCTTGTGCAGGTGAGGCTTGCCATGGTGGTAGGGGCCAATGGCCACGAAGGTCGGCACGATGTACCGCTGCTCGTTTGAGCCGCCGATCCCAATCAGGCCTCGAGGGAACCTGTGGATCTTGCCCTGCGCAATGGGGGTGATGTGGCTGCCATCCAGTTTCTGTATCTTGGTACTTGCTTGTGCTTCATCTGGGACGCCATGGCCGACGTCGACATGTATTGCCACCACTTCGCCGGCCATTGGGGCAGCTAAATGTTGCTCTCAAATTATTCAAGATTGACGGTAATAAGCTAATTAATGGAGTAGATATGTAGTTTCAGTTTCTAGGCTGTCGCGGCAGGTATTTATAGCTATCAAGCATGCATGGAACTCTCTGGGATCGAGTGAGATGTACGTATAAGGTACACTCTCGAGCTATCTGTCAGCAGCTGATACTAAGACTGATGGCTCAAGCATGTTGCTTTGCTTCAGCTTGATCGACAAAACTAATCTTTTTGTAAGGAAGCACTTCAAGCCATCTTATAGCTAGGGGGGTATTTGGTTCTTTCAGGCACCTCGCGTGTGACACTTTTTTCGCCAAGCATCGCAGCGGGAAACCGCCTCCGCCCCTCTGCACAGCCGTTTGTTCTAGAATCATTCGTTGCTTTGTTTGTTTGGTGGTGTATATATGCTGCTTTAACTTCACACTATACTGCATGCGATTTCTGGCGATCAATCAGCGAAGAAACTTTTCTGATGATGGCAGAAGCCGAAAGCCCTCGTACGTTCTAAATTTCATTCTCTATGATTTCTGGCAATGTCTTCGTGCAGTCGCGGTGACCGTTTGTGTAATTGTGTACGTGTCGTGGAGATGGACAGAGATCCATAGAACCGAAGGTCAATTGCATTCAAGTGTGCACTCGCTTATCTCTTCCACATCATCTGCTCCTTACGTTAACAAACAAAGCAAGTATGGTGTAGTTTTAAATTGAAATTAAGGTTGAGAAAAAAATAATTATACCGTTACTCATTGAATGAGGTGAAAGTATGGTGTAGTTTTAAATTGAAATTAAGGTTGAGAAAAAAATAATTATACCGTTACTCATTGAATGAGGTGATAGATGTGATTAGTACTTCAAAAATATTTATATTATGTACAAAACTAGCTGGTTGGTCCGCGCAATTGCGCAGCTAGCACCCAAACAAAATCATATATTCTTTTAGTATGATTTTACTTAAAATTTATTAAATAGCTATCTCATTGTCTTAAGACTTTGAAAGACCAAACCTTATCATCCTCGTGTTTCTAATTATATAGTTTTTAAAAGTCACACCAGTTACTATCCCTTATGTCATCTCCTTCTTTATTTGCTTACTCGATTTATTACTATTTCTATTCATTCTTATTAGAACCTTAAAAATTGGATTTTATAGTTTTTAGAGTTTATTGTCACGTTGGGTTTCGTTTTTATAATTTCTAGATGTCCCGTCGAACATTAACATTATACTACTCTACGGCCTGTCCACTGTCTCTTCTCTTTATTGTCATTGAGATTTTAAAAATCAAAGATAATTATCATTTGGGTTCATTTTTACTTTCTAAAAGTCCCGCCAAACCATCAGCAGCTTTGCCATTGTACTCCTCTACGGCTCGCTCACTGCCTCCCTTCTTTATTCTCATTGAGATTTTAAAATCGAACATGATTATCATTGTTTTTTTTACTTTTTAAAAGTTCTGAACCTTTAAAAATTGGACTTGTAGTTTTATTTTTTATAATTTTTAGAAGTCCCATCAAACGATGCCACTATGCCCCTCTACAGCCTGTCTGCTGCCTACTCTTATTGTCACTGTGATTCTAAAAATTGAACATAACTATCGTTGGTATTCATTTTTTTATTTTCTAGAAGTCCCATCAACCGTCGGCGACTCTGCAATTATACTCTTGTACACTCCGCCCGCTGTTTCTCCTTTTTATTGTCACTGAGATTTTAAAAATCGAATATGATTATCAATGGGGTTTTTTTTTACTTTCTAGAAGTCCCGGCAACCGCCTTACTTGTTTGCTTTACGGCATGCCTGACGTCCCTCCTTTTAATCGTCATTAGTATTCTATTTGGTTTTTTATTAACAATTTTTATATATCGTATCAACCGCCACCACTTTACTCCTTTATAGGCCTGTTACTTAATTTTATCTCATCATGTGTTTTAGATGGTATTTTCTTTCAATAGTCTTTATTTTTAGCACAAATTTTAATTATTTATAAATTGTATTCCTAATTGAAATCTTATTTTTCCTTTTCAAATTTCATAATTTATTTTTAAAAAAATTAGTTAATAACGTATTGTGTTCTTTTAATGTTTTTATTTTTTTTATTTTCAATTTCAGTTGTTTCAAAATTGTATTTCTACTTGAACTCTCTTTTAGTTTTTCTAATTTTGGATATTATTTTATTTTTTTTCAAAATTTTAATTAATCTTGTATTGGGTTCTTATATGGATTCTTCTTTCAATATTGCTTATTTTTAATTCCGAATTTCAGCTAATTTTAAATTGTATTCCTACTTGAACTCTTCTTTTATTTTCTTTTTTCTAATTTCGGATTTATTTTTATTTTTATTTTGAGTTTAATTAATCTCGTATTGGGTTCTTATATGGACTCTTCTTTTAATATTTCTTATTTTTAATTTCGAATTTCAGCTATTTTTAAATTGTATTCCTACTTAGACTCTCCTTTCCTTTTCTAATTTTGGATTTTATTTTATTTTTATTTCGAATTTTGATTAATCTTGTATTGGGTTCTTATATGGAACTTCTTTCAATATTGCTTATTTTTAATTCCGAATTTCAGCTATTTTTAAATCGTATTTCTACTTGGACTCTCCTTTTCTTTTTTTTCTTTTTCTCCGATTAATGTGGGAATTTCTAGCCCCACAGCGAACGTGGTGCCTCCTTTCAAAGCTGTTTTAATAATATAACTAGCTGGGTGGCCCACGCAATTGCGCGGCTAGCAACAAAATAATATTTTTCGGTATGATTTTACTTAAAATTTATTAAATATCTATCTCATTGTCTTAAGACTTTGAAAAACCAAACATTATCATCCACGTATTTCTAATTATATAATTTTTAAAAGTCACAACAGCTGCTACCCCTTACTTCTATCATATACTTCTTTATTTGCTTGCTCGATGTACCACTATTTTTATTCATTCTCTTTGAAACCTTTAAAAATTGAATCTTAGTTTTTAGAGGTTATTGTCTCGCTGAGTTTCATTTTTATAATTTCTAGAAGTCCTGTCAAAGGCTGCCATTATACTTCTCTACGGCCCGTCCACTGTCTTTTCTCTTTTATTATCGTTGGGATTTTAAAAATCGAACATAATTATCATTCAGGTTCATTTTTTACTTTCTAAAAGTCCCACCAAACCGTTAGCGGCTTTGCCATTGTACTCCTTTATGGCTCGCCCGTTGTCTCCATTCTTTATTGTCATTGAGATTTTAAAATTGAATATGATTATCATTAGGTTTTTTTTTACTTTTTAGAAGTTCTGGACCTTAATTGGACCTTGTAGTTTTTAGAGTTTATTTTCTTTTTGGGTTTCATTTTTTGTAACTTTTAGAAGTCCCGTCAAACGATGCCGGTATACTCCTCTACGGCCCATATGCCGCCCACTCTTTATTGTCATTGTGATTCTAAAAATCGAATATAACTATCGTTGGAATTTATTTTTTTTATTTTCTAGAGGTCCCGCCAACCATCGGCGGCTTCTCCTTTTTATTATTATTGAGATTTTAAAAATCAAATATGATTATAAATGGGGTTTATTTTTTTACTTTCTAGAAGTCCCGGCAATCACCTTGCTCGTTTGCTTCACGGCATGCCTGTTGTCCCTCCTTTTAATCGTCATTAAGATTCTATTTGGTGTTTTATTAACAATTTTTATATGTACTATCAACCGCTACCACTCTACTTCTTTATAGGCTTGTTACTTAATTTATCTCGTCATATGTTTTAGATGGTCTTTTCTTTCAATAGTCTTTATTTTTTATCACCAATTTTAGTTATTTATAAATTGTATTCCTAATTAAAATCTTTTTTCTTTTTATAATTTCAGAATTTATTTTTTAAAAACCTTTTTTATTTTAATATTTTAATATTTTTTATTTTTGAATTTCATGTGTTTCAAAATTGTATTCCTACTTGAACTCTCTTTTAATTTTCTAATTTTGGATATTATTTTATTTTTTATTCTGAATTTTAATTAATCTTGTATTGGGTTCTTATATGGACTCTTCTCTCAATATTGCTTATTTTTAATTCCGAATTTTAGTTAATTTTAAATTGTATTCCTACTTGAACTCTTCTTTTCTTTTTGCTAATTTCAGATTTTATTTTTATTTCGAATATTAATTAATCTTGTATTGGGTTCTTATATGGACTCTTCTCTCAATATTCCTTATTTTTAATTCCGAATTTCAGTTATTTTAAATTGTATTCCTACTTGTACTCTCCTTTTCTTTTCTAATTTCAGATTTTATTTTATTTTTATTCTATATTTTGATTAATCTCGTATTAGGTTCTTATACGGACTCTTCTTTCCATATTGCTTTTTTTTTTAATTTCGAATTTCAGCTGTTTTTAAACTGTATTTCTATTTGGACTCTCCTTTTCTTTTTCTCCGATTAATGTGAGAATTTCTAGCCCTCACAGCGAACGTGGTGCCTCCTTTCAAGGCTGTTTTAATAATATAATAGATAGATTTGAATTCTGTGATGGGCGCCAACTTGGGGCTCAATTAAGATATGTAATGTTATCTCAATTGGGTCTAAATTATGGCCCGTCACTGATAGGTGTCATCCGTGACGGGTCTGAGTTTTATGCCCGTCTAACATGTCTGTGCGGTCATATCTCAATCGGACGATATTTTGGCCCGTCACAGATGACTCATTCGTGACAGCCCACTAATTTCAGGCATGTTAGAGGCTGTCATAGATGGAATGTTCTTTACTAGTGTTTCAAATTGCTCAACAATGTGTTTTTTTAAAAAAAGTTTCTATGCGAAAGTTGCTTAAAAAAACATATATATCAATATGACTTTATCCTGCCTTATCCTATATCATCTCAATATTACTTGTAAAATTAATCATTGATAGTATGTTTAATGCGCTGCCGTAAGGTGAAAACCTTATTACTACGAGCAAAGATAGAAATTATACTATATATCTCATGCGAGCCAGTCGTGGAGATTGAATTTGTATGGTTTAAAACTCTTTGTATGTCAATATATATATTGTATCTAAGTGTGAATGTTGATGTGGATAATGTGTATGATTTTATTAAAACTATGTATGTTAATGTTTA